CAGTGGCCTTCATCCTCACAGTAGGTGGCAGGTGCACCATACAAATGTGATCCATGGCCCGGTACACGACACACCCATGGACCGGCACACGACACACCCATGGACCGGCACACGACACACCCATGGCCCGGCACACGACACACCCATGGCCCGGTACACCCCACTAACACACCACAACAAAAACATATGCTGGGCCAACAGAGTACACACCCTACCTTTAAGTACACACCCTAAGTCTCGTTCCAACAGGAGATACATTCATTAGTTGATGTAATATGTAAACAGAATCACTTTTAACGGGTACACAAGAGCCTTCACAAAACAACAGAGAAAAAGTAGTAGAGGCGTTCAGATAACCTTAATATGAACTAGATTTTGGTTGGCTTTTACACTATCACGGAAAGAGGGAGGTGGGTAGGACGGAGAGGAGGAAGAGGAGGAGGGAGGGTAGGAGGACGAGGAGGACGACGAGGAAAAGGAAGACGATAATGACGACGACGACGACGACACTGGATGGGTAAATTGAATAAAAATGTTAACGTGTGAATGTGATCAATACAAGGTAAAGAAAAACTCGAACGGGGAAGACGAACCACAGAGACGTGACGAAGAGACGTGAAGAAGAGATGAACCACAGAGACGTGAAGAAGAGATGAACCAGAGACGTGAAGAAGAGATGAACTGCAGAGGTGTGAAGAAGAGACGAACCACAGAGACGTGAAGAAGAGACGAACCACAGAGACGTGAAGAAGAGACGAACCACAGAGACGTGAAGAAGAGACGAACCACAGAGACGTGAAGAAGAGATGAACCAAAGAGACGTGACGAAGAGAAAAACCCAAAAAGACGTGACGAATTACTACACTGAGGAAAGTAAGGACAAGGACGAAGACTAACCATAATAAGGACGAGGACGAAGACTAACCACAGTAAGGACGAAAGTACGAAAGAAAGAAACAAAAGTGGATGAGGTTATGGAAGAAGGGAAGACGGATACGGGAAGGAAGAGGCACGGGTGGACCCCCCAAAAAAACTATTGCGAAGCTGCGAAAGATGGGAGCAGGGCCGAGGGTAGCACAAAAACACAGTCAGAGTTTGGGAGATGTTGGAGAAAGGGAGAGTGAGGGAGGGAGGGAGGGGGAAAAGGGAGAAAATGAGGTAGTGAGGGGGGGTAAAAAAGAGAAGGGAGGGGGGAGGGAGGAAAGGAGGGTGGGTGGGATAAAGGGAGAAAAGGAAGGAGGGATAGAGAGCAGAAGGGACGGGGGGTAGGGTAAAATTGTTGGAGAGTGAGGAGAGGGTAGAAAGATGAGGGAGGGTGTCGTGAGGAGGAAACAAAGGCAAGGGGTCGCTAAAGGGTAATGGGGTTCTCTCCTGAAGGGGTGGAAGCAGGGGTAACAAAGTGGGTTTCTTATGAGTGATAGAGAGAGCGAGCAAAGAACAGACCACCTCCATGATGCTTCTTGGAGGAGGTAAACAAAGAAGGTACATAGAGAGTGGTGCCTTGGAGGAGAGAGAGAGAGAGTATACCTAAGAGGAACTGCTTCAAGGGGGGAGGGGGGGGAGGTTCCTGTGAGGGGGGTTCCTTCAGGGATACGAAAGAGGAAGTGAGAGCTCCTTTGGACAGACCTTCAAGAGTCAAAGGAAGGCATGCCAAAGGAAACACTATTGAAGATTATGTGAGAGGTGGGAGAGGGGTAGGATAAGAGCACGTGGGAGAGGAGGAGGATAAGAGCACGTAGGATAAGAGCACGTGGGAGAGGAGGAGGATAAGAGCACGTGGGAGAGGGGGAGGACAAATGCACGTGGGAGAGGGGAGGACAAATGCACGTGGGAGGGAAGGATAAAAGCACGTGGGGAGGGAGGATAAAAGCACGTGGGAGGGAGGAGGATAGGCACGTGGGGAGGGGTAGGATAAGGCACACGTGGGAGAGGAGGATAAGAACACGTGGGAGAGGAGGATAAAAGCACGTGGGAGAGGGAGAGAGGATAAAAGCAAGTGTATTAGGGAGATGAAAAGATAATAATAAAGAGGCGTGGAAAGGAAGTGAGAAAGAGGGAGATAAAAAAGAGGGAATAAAAGGAAGTGGAGACGGAAGATGAGGAAGAAGGTGAAGGGCCAAGGAGAGGGAATAGAGCCACACGAGGAAGGAAAGTGAGGAGGATGGAAGCAAGGAAATGGGGATAATCCTAATAACACGAGGAAGGGAAGTGTGGAGAGGAAGGGAAGTGTGGAGAGGAAGGGAAGTATGGAGAGGAAGGGAAGTGTGGAGAGGAAGGGAAGTATGGAGAGGAAGGGAAGTGTGGAGGAAAGGAGGAACTGTGGGGAGGAAAGGAAGTGTGGAGAGGAAGGGGAGGTGTCGAGAGGGAAGGGAAGTGTGGAGAGGAAGGGGAGTGTGGAGAGGAAGGGGAGTGTGGAGAGGAAGGGAGTGTGGAAGGGAGAGAGGGAAGCGTGGGGAGGGGCGGGAAGAAAGAATAACAACTCCCGTGCTCTTGTTTATCACGTGTACTGTACAGGTATTCAAAATCACACCACGAATAAAACTGGTTCCTGTCATTAGCTGTAAATACACGATACATTTCCTTAAAAGAAGAAGTATATTTTGAGTCTGTTTCGTATTTTATCGCGTTCAAACAAAGAGGCCAGGGAAGGTTTGGGTTGATGGACTGGGGTTGGTGGGGTGGGCGGGGGGAGTGGTGTGGGCGGTGGGTGTGAGGGGGGGTAGAGGAGAGGGGTAGTGGTATGGGCGGTGGGTGGGAAGGGGTAGTGGTGTGAGCGATGGATGGGCGGCGGGGCTAGTGGTGTGGGTGGTGGATGGGTGGGTGGGAGGTCAGTGGTGTGGGTGGTAGGTGGACGGCCAGCACTGCCCCCTGGCTGTGTGTTATCACCTGGCGGGGTCTCTGTGGCATCACCACTACAAGTTGCCAACAAATGTCCTGCTCCGGGCCATCCTAAATCATCCCCCCCCTCTCTCCCCTTTCACACTCCCTTCCCCTCCCTTCTTCACACCCATCCTCACCCCTCCCTACACTCCTCCCTCCTTCTTCACACCATCACCTCCACCACCCCCTCCATCCTCTCTACCTTCCTTCCACCCATCTCCCTCTTTTACCATCACTATCCCCTCCTCGCTTACCCTCCCCTTCTTACCCATCACCCTCCTCACCCCCTCCATCCACTCTCCCACCTCCCACCCCCCATCCACTTCTTCTCCTTTCCTCTTCTCCCCACACACACACACACACACACACACACACACACACACACACACACACCATACATACATTATTCCCCCTGACTATAATACTGTGTCAGTGTAAAAACAGAATGTATAAAATCAACTCTAATAACCCATTGTATTAAGGTCATATACACAGTCCTTATAACACTATAAATCCCCCAGTGAATCACGTTAAATTATATTCCTGACAGATGGATTATTTCACCATACCAATGTCGGTCTAGTCTACGTAATGGGCACAAGTAAACAAAGACGACAATAAAATGTAATGAATAAATAAAATCAATGAACGAAGATTAATATTACATAAAACATTAATTACTTCAGAAGAAATAAAATTAAATATAAAAAGGTTCTGTGTTTGTTCAGTTGTTTTATTGTAAAATTATGTGGTAGCTGTCGAGACTATTGAAGACGTGTGTGTGTGTGTTTTATGCTGCTGTAACATTGTACAGTTGAAGCCATCTCAGTAATCTGGCGTTTTTCATCGGGCTGAGTCACCTCGGGGCACGGACAAATAACACTGTGTGCATATACGAGGATGCTGCTGTGGACAGGCCATCTATCTCATCATCACGACACACGGTACTCCCATTAACACTATGTACCCACCAACCATGAGCTAGATATTAAAACACACACACACACACACACACACACACACACACACACACACACACACACACACACACACACACACACACCACGTGAGGCCCCTCGTAACACCATCTGCGAGGGAATTACCACGCCAGGTCCCTCATAACACCATCTGAGGGAACTACTACACCACGTGAGTTCCTCCTAACACCATCTGGGAGGAGTTACTACACTACGAGTTTGCTGTTCAACACCTACATTAATCTGTATGTTCACTGTATGTTCCTTTACCTTTCTCTAATGAAGGCTTTTGTTAAACCACCAATGTATGTAATAAGTCATTTATGTCTAATGTATATTTTCAGCCTTCGGGTTGCAGAATTTTTTCAATAAATCGTTAATTATTATCATTATTATTATTACACACACACACACACGAAAGCATACGCATACATGCAGAAACACAAGAGTACAAAAATACTTATTAATATATAATTACAGTTCATACAAATCTGAACTCACTCTCTCTCTCTCTCTCTCTCTCTCAGAAACAGAGAACGGTGGGTGATGGAGAGGAAGAGGAAGTAGACAAAAAGTGTTCCCAAGTTTGTCGCAAGTTGGTGGGCGGCCCCCCGACCCACCCATCCTTGCCGTGCCCCCGCCCGTCCATCCACCCTTCTCCCACTCACCAACCCACCCTTGCATTTTCACTACCCACCGACCCACTACCACGCCCCACCCTCCTAGCCTTTGCTCCTTCCTGCCCACCAACCCATCTGTCTGCCCCTTGCCCCGCCCCTAAACACCCATCCACACATCCAACCATGTTCCTCCCCGTCCCGCTATACATCACCTGAGTGACACATCATTGATCACTGAGTGGGAGAGAAAATAGATCACCTGAGTGGGATAAAAAATATATATATCACTTGAGTGGGATAGACAACAGATCACCTGATTGGGATACACAACAAATCACCTGAGTGGGATCGACAACAGATCACCTCAGTGGGATAAAAACACATCACCTGAGTGTCAAAAACCTGACAGGCATCCACAAAACGCCATAACAAACAACGCACGTAAACAAAAGAGGCCCTGTACCACACACACACACACACACACACACACACACACACACACACACACACACGGGGTACTCACCTGGCTGCGTGAGGAGGATGCCGGATTCGGTGTAGACGGCGGTGATGATGTGATCAGGAGGGTACAAATCCTTCAGGATCTCCCACTCTTCCTCCCAGACCAGCACGAGGTGTCTGAGGGGAGTACCATAAACAATTAATAATGACTACAGACCCATTATTTGAGTACATTGTTTAGCTAACTTACGCAGATGATGTGTAATGTTCTTAATAAAACAGCCAACACTTTTATAATTCTTTACACCCAAGACCTAATAATAATAATAATAATAATAATAATAATAATAATAATAATAATAATAATAATAATAATAATAATAATAATAATAATAATAATAATAATAATAATGTAAACTAGTCAACCCAGTAAACGCAAAACTTTGGTTATAATTAATCTTCATATCTGAAAATACCAGCAAAAAATACTGAAAAGTAGTTTGAGAATTTCACTTTTTTTCCATTCTATCTACCTCATAATAGAGAAATTTGGCCAAAATTTCATATAAAGCCTTTAGGTAATGGCTCTTATCCCTAAAGCAGTTTAAAAAAAAAAGTTTATCATGCGCAACAGGAACTTTCGTAACTTCAAATTCAGATCAAAGTTTCTTGAAATAAATTAACTTAGCGGTATAAATAATGAGGTTTAAAGTAAAAAATACGAAAACAAAAGCATTTTAAAAATATGAAATCACGGTACGGTAAAGAGCTAAATCATGATGATGACAACTTCTAGGTTACGAAGCCACGAACTTTCTACCAATAATTCACTATGTAACCTAAAAAACACAGGAAATCTCCTCAATAAATTATCGGATGGCTAAAAAAATACAAGTTATATCAAGTTTTTATATTCCTTGGGAAGAGAGAGAGAGAAACTAGCTGAACAATGAATGCATCAGTACACTTAACAAATTTCAAGACATTTATAGAATAGGAAAATAAATAAAACCGAAATGCAATAAAAGCATCCCCCGTATATCTCTCCTCCTCCCGCTGTCCTCATCTACAGACACGCCCTTGCGTTTATATCAATGAACTCAATATGGTTATAACAAGCAATTCGTAATAATGTGGGGGTGAGATAAGAGGAGTGTATTGTCCTCGATGTCTGATAGTTACACAGTTTCCAAAAGGAACTCATTAAAAATAACAAATTTACATCAGTTTCTGTTGGAATAATGTGATGTTACTCTCACAACAACCCGACACTACACACTGTACATATATTTCTTTCTGGTATTCCAACACCTCACACACACATCTGAAACTTATCGTCACGCTAATAAAGATGTGTGCTCTTATATTTCTAATATATTCAAAATATTTTGCTTTAACAATCTACAAATATACGGGAATAGCAACAGGCTCTACTTCATGTTTCTCAAACATATTATTACAATATATTTATTTTCACACAGTACCGTGCACTGTACAGTACATGCTCCTACGCCTCGGGCAGTCGTTTGTATCCAGTGAAATTATTGCAACAGGAAAATGAAAAAAATATATCAGAGTTGGTAGTCATATGATGGCATTTAGAAAATTACTCTACCTTTCATTTTCACGAATTTCAAATGTTGTGAAACTGCAGGCAAGACAGATGCATCCGGCCATACGAGGGCGGCCGGCCGCTTCTCTTGTCAGCCAGATCCTCTCCGTAATTTATTACTCGGGTACGGCTCATACTGGCACGGTCCTCCAGTAATTTATTGCTCTCGTACGCCTCATACTGGTAAGGTCCCAACTGTTCTTGAGCGACTCCCACTTGTCTGTACTTATTAACGCCGTATAGTTCACACTGGTATAGTTCATACATGACTCCACGGCCTTGTACCGCCCTCCACGCAATTCATTAATCTTGGGAGGTTCATATGATACGGTTTAATGATAAGATCTTGTGGACGGGACTGGTTGCCAGGTGACACTATATGACCACCAGAGAGCACTTCGCGCCTCCCATACATGAACTATACTGGACTGGGTGGACGACTGAGAGGTTCATGGAGACTCTTAATAGACATTTCCCGTGGCACCTCGAGGCAACCAAGGGATCTGCATGAATATTTGGTTGTATCCTGAAGACCAATGACTGTCTTTTCTAACTGTCTGACTGACCGAAAAGGCTTTTATCAGTTACGGAATATTTTTTTTAATACATCCTATACGATGTTGGCCATAAGACCAACCCACACCGTTACTTATTACCCATTTTTTTTAATTTCAAAACAAACGGTATAAAATCATAGTCACTGGCCACAATATGCAGCTTAAAAAGAGCACAAGTACAAAAAATGCGTCAATCAGGTGAGGACAAGCGGGCCCTGAGGAAATCAAACAGACAAAGATTATTCTAAACACTATATGAAGAATACAAGAGTTACCGAGACAAAAATTTATGTGGTGTAAAGTAATACAAAGTTTATTTCTTAAAGACTTAGGATGACAATAACTATAAAAATAAAGTGTTGTAAAATAAAAGGGAAGAGGAATATGATCTAAACTGAGTAAAGATAATCACTAAATGGAAATGCCGTAAGTATTAAAACACTATTCATAATATTCATAAGAGTAAGTAATACCAGGTGACCCATCGAACGGGTTCCAGGAGTATACACCTGGCAAAAACGGAAGAGAGGACAGTAGAGGTGATATAATAACCGAGTGACTACACAGTTCGCCTCCTATCTCATGGGTTGCTGGTTCGCCTGGGATATCACCCGAACTAGCAGGAAAACAAACAACAAGGGGAGTAACCACTGAATATCTTCACTTTGTGTTTAAAATTCCTGATTTAAAAACAAAACATCATTAAACTGATAATGACGGGAACAAACAACTTAATTCTGCCAAACTTAAGAATATGTCGCTCAATGTTACGTTCCTGTTAATAGCGAACATAGATCTGTCACTTTTTATTATGCATAAAGAGACGAAAGCAAATACTAGCATTTCAAGCCCAACTAAAGGACATGAACTTTGCTTCATCTAGCAGGCCGAAAATATTCAATCACTCCACTAAGCAGAATGACAAGGATCACCCATCAGTTTCCGCGCCTGACCTTGGGAACCTAATAAAGTATAACTCTCACGATGAAGAGATACATTTCTAGCCATGTATACTTGCGTTCACTTTCTCACTTCACCAATAGTAACGTCTCTCTCTCTCTCTCTCTCTCTCTCTCTCTCTCTCTCTCTCTCTCTCTCTCTCTCTCTCTCTCTGTGATACACACCCCTGAAGCCTTGCGGTGGTGGCAGTGAAGGTCCTCCGCCCTGGCATAATTCCACAGCGCGAGTGATTAGTCCACTAATTTGGGAAATAACAAATACCCCGCGTCTCTCCCTCCATTATTCTCCGGAAAGGGGAGTGGGAGAGAAGGGAGTGGGTGGTGGAGGGAGGGAGAGATGGTGGAGGGAGGGTGGAGGGGAGAGGTGGTGGAGGGTGGTGGAGGGAGGGTGGTAGTGAAGGAGGGAGAGGGTGGTGGAGGGAGGAGATGGGGTTTGTGGAGGATGGGGTGGCAGTAGGAGGGGTTGGGGTGGGGGATCTGTAGGAGAGGGTGGGGGTAGGGGGGGCTGTAGCAGGGGATAAAAACGTTTTCTAAGAGAGGATAAAAACGTTTCTGCTGAGCGCTCGCACAAGATGGATGGCGCAGGAAGGGAGGAGAAAGGGAGACAGGGCTGGAGGGGGTGGGGAGGAGGGAGTGAACGGGTAAAGTGAGGGAGGGAGGGGAGACGTTGAAGGGTGAAATGAAGGAAGGCGAGGTTCTGGTGGTGGTGGGGAGGGAGGGAGGAAGGAAGGAAGGGTAGAAATGAAGGAGGAAGATGAGGGATAAAGTGAGGAAATGGTGAGACTGAGGTGCAGGGGAATAAGGAGAACGTTAAAACACAATAAGGGAAAGAATGGAAAGGTATAGGTGGTATAGGGATAGAAAAAAGGGGCAGTTTTAAGGGACACCAGAGGGTTTACAGAGAACTACAGAACAGCATTAGAACACCTGCAAGATTTTTGTTTTACCTAGAGTTGCGTGGCGGAAACTTTACCACAATACAGGCACAAGAATCCGGATCAAAGCACTGCACAAGAGTCATCAAAATACAACATTGCCTGCATCAGTTACTACAAGAACAAGATCATGAGGTGCTACTGAGTAAATATGTATATTAGGAGAATGATGGTAAGAGTACCTGGGTACCTAAGCTGGGACCGGGTTCTGGCCTCCACTAAGTAGGATTTTTGGTAGAAGGTCAAGCCAAGCCACGTGATGGAATTAAGACAAATATTCACACGAGGATGAAGTGAACGCATTAACTAAGCTTGAAACATTGACCTTTAAATGTGACCTTGACGTTTATTAACCGTGACATCCAATACAAAATCGTTAGGTTATCGCTCATGTCTAAACTCAATCGGATAAAACCTGTAGAAATAGTTACTTTATCTAAAATTTCGGAGTTGGACAAACGGACGGAATGAAGGACCGACGAACAGACAGACTGGAGCAACACTATATGACCCCTCTAGCGGAGTCATGCAAACATCACCCGTGGCGATTCACATGATGGGATAGACTGATGAGATCGGCGTAGCGGCCTGACAAGTGTTAACGTCAGCCTAAACCACATGAGGAGACCCTGGTGTGACTCTTGTGTATGTCTGCGCACGGCATTCGCTGTCACTGGCAGCTTCGTCTCCGACCTTTCGTGGATGTCTAGACTGGAAATTCCTCCTGAAGAAGGCTGTGAGGGAGGTGGGGAACATGAGGTGGATGATGGCTGTGAGGGAGGTGGGGGAAACATGAGGTGGATGATGGCTGTGAGGGAGGTAGAGAACATGAGGTGGATGATGGCTGTGAGGGAGGTGGGGAACATGAGGTGGATGATGGCTGTGAGGGAGGTGGGGGAAACATGAGGTGGATGAATCAATATACAGATTCTTTACCGAAGATTCATAAAGTCAATATTGAATACGCTCTCACAACTGACGCAAAGTGAGTGTCGAGTGTAATGTTTATGTCATTGTGTTTGTGCTTCAGCGTACCTCATCAGTTTAATGCATTATTATATCTTTAATTACGAGGAATATTCAACTTTAGAACCTTTGAGAACCGGAATACTGA